ATTCTCCACCAAACCAGCACTCTTCTGGCACTGGCTTCCTGCACACCTTGGGTCTTATGTCCCTGACCTCGGCCTGCAGGGGCCACGTGATGGCTTCAAGACAGGAAAGGACAGAGGAAGACAAAGGCTTTGCCCACAGCTGCCTTGTGGGCACAAGAGCAAGAGGCAGAACAACCCCCGCCTAGTTCACAGCTGGGGAGGAGCATGCCCTCAGCTCACGTGGGTAGAGAGGCACAGGCCACGCTGAGCAGAGGGCCTGGAGGAGACACGAGCAGAACTGACTAGCTCTTGGAATCCATGCAGAAAACATTTCCCGTCACCTGCATCCTGAGGGCTGGGGTGTGCTATCCCCCAGGAGTGCTCTCTCCCCATTCCCCCTGGGGGCCAGCACACCTCACAGTCGAGAGGAGTTCTGACCACCCTGTGTACCTGACCCTCGGGGCCCTGCCCCCTGGTCCCCACTGCCTCCCGCCCAGCCCAAGCAGTAGTCTCAGGAGCAGTTAGGCTGGAGGGGGAGGGGGACTGGCTAACTGGTGGCCACTGGTGAGTTGTTCAGGAGTGGAGTGGGGGTCTGGGTGTGAGGTGGGGCCCCACCTACATAGGATGAGAGTGAACAGCTGAGCTCAATGAAAACAGACCCTCAGGGTGCACTTGCACTTGGGTGATAGGTTTATTTCACACATGTTGCTTGCACACTATCAGGAGAGTTCAGGGTCGCCTGGGGTCCTCCAGGCTCAGGGAAAATGTGGCCTCCCTCCCCCTCTCTCCAGAGACCCTGTCACAGCCCTCCCCCAGGTCTATAGCCCCGGGCCCTACCCTGTTACAGCCTGGGCTGCCCACCATGGGGTGCAGCCTCCCCGGGGGCTGGGTCAGATTTGCATGTTGCCCACATCCAGAGTCCAACGAAAATGAACTGGCTGCACACTACCCCTGCCACATACAGCAGGAAGAAGGTGTGATCGGCAGCCTCGACCCAGCTCCTCCGTGACCCCGCTTCTCTTCTGGTGGCCTCTGTGGGGGAGGCAGGAGCACGAGCTGCACTGCAGGGCTCAGCCAGCACTCTTCCCCAGAGCAGAGGAGTGAACCCAGGGACTGGCGCCATATTTCTCCCTTCTATAGATTCACACCTAGTGAATATTCGGGTCTGGCCCATTCTAGGCCATCTTGAGTTGAAGGAAGACCCTCCTAGAGAGGTTCCACGAGGCACAGGGTCATCTCGGGGAGTTTGAAGTCACCCAGGCCTTCAGGAAGATTAACCTTGCCCCCTGCTCCAGACCTGCCTCTTCCATGGTAGTGCAGCCGAGAGATGGAGGCCGGCAGAGTGAGTGCAAGGAGCTTTTAAATAGCCCCAGGGACCCGGCCCCAGGCATGCAGCCGGCAGGCTCCGCCCTATTCAGCCTCCCAGCCTCCTGCCTCACCCACCCCAGGAAGAGTCCCAGCCCCTGCCCACCTTCAGGATTAGGCCCTGCATGCTCACGAGCTTGCTGCGCCCCTCTCAGGGCTGGGTGGGGGCTGCTCCTGGCCGGGAGGTGGTCCCTGGCCAGCAGCCCAGCCAGCAGCACAGTCTCCATGGTGCTGATGAAGAGCAGCAGCAGCAGGACGGTGAAGTAGTAAACTGGGAGGGCAGGGACAGGGGTAGGGGTCAGGGGGCAGGCCTGTGCCTCCAGTGCCCAGGGAGCTGAGCAGAGGGGGAGAAGGAGGCAGGCCAGGCAGAGTGGTCCTGCCCAGGGCCAGGTGAGGGCACAGGGCTTACTGAGCAGCGGGTTGCAGGAGGAGGAGCTGGGCAGGGCCTGCACCAGGGAGGAATGGAAGACCAGGTAGCCCAGCAGCAGGGTCACCTTGTAGGCAATGCGCTCCGTGGCCTGGAGGGGCAGCAGCCCCCCGCATATGTCAGCCAGCAGCAGCGCCTCCCCGGGAACCAGCAGCGCTATGATGGCCTTCAGTGCTGTGTTCTGAAGGTGCAACTGGAAGGAAGAGCATTGGGGCTTTCTGGGGGGACGTGCAGGGGGTGGGCG